AGGAACAGGTTACCCAGAGAGGTGGTGGAATCTCCATCCTGGGAGATATTCAAGACCCAGCTAGGCAATGCTTTGGCTGAGATGATCTAGTTGGAGATGATCCTGCTTTGAGCACTGGGTTGAGATAAAGCATCTTGCCCTTGAAGCAGAGAAAAGAGAGGAAGAAGGAAAAGGACAGGAATCAGAGGTACAGCCTACTCTTCCCTAAGGAAAGACTTGCAACTTCTATGGATGGATCTGTGGCTCGAGGATTAGACTTGGAAGTCACCTCAAGATCCATCAATCAGCTGTGGTAGAGATCATTCTCAAATCAAGGATTGATGTAGACACTGCTGCTAACCGGGCAGTTTGTGGAATTTCTAATATCTGGTATTTTGTTACACACCTAATACCTGAGAATCAGAACTTTTATTGAAAAAATCACCTGTAATTCTCAGGAATTGGATGTGTAAGAAAATATCAAGCTGCCTTCCATAAAAAAAAAAGGCCTATTAATTACAGTAATGGGGGGAGAAAATTAAAAATATGAATTCTGAATGCAGAAGGACTCAAAGAAGAACAATTGCAAAACTTAAGCCATTTGCAGTATTTAGGTTGTGACATGTGATGTTAGAAGCCTTGAGGTAGGCAGGCAGTGCTGCTGCATGCAGGCTTAGTTGCAGTAAAGATGTTTCCCAGCTAAATTGCACTGTGACAAGATTCAGCTCTGTTCAAATCCAACATCTTTCCTAAGAAGGGGGATTTTGATTTTTCTTAAATTGGGCTGACTAATGAGCCAGCTAGAGCTCTCAGTCAATACTAAGTTTGTCAAGTCCTCTCTAAACCATCTTCAAAGTCACTATTATGTTGACATTGTTGAGCTGTTTGGCAACACTACTATATTCTTATACCCTGAATCATGCACCTAAAATTTGGGTACAAGGGTAAGGCAAGATTAAACTCCACATTTTACAGGTAATTGGTTACCAGTAACTCATCTTAAATCCAAGCATGCACAAAAATATTTTCCTGGAAAATATCTAACCTGAATGTCAGTTCCTCCTTAGCAAATGCCTGTATACATGTAAAATTCAATTTTATAGGAGATTCTTTTGTACCAATATCAAATTATGACTGTTGTTGGCATTTGATGAGTAGAAAGGATGAATAATCAATCACATGATTTTGCAGTAAGTTTAGTTTACTCAAATACAATCTTTCTGCTAGAGATCAAGAATTAACATTTAAACGTTTCAGCTGCTGTAAAATATCTGGGTATAATTTTTTCCAGCATGTACAATATCATTTAACAGGCCCAAATAATAAATAATGCCTTAAATATACAAGTAACACTATACAATAAAAAATAGAAACTTGCAAATTATTGAAGGAGAGAACATCCTTGAGGAAACTATTCTGTATGTATTTTGCTCACATGTTCTCTATTTTTTCTCTTCATCCTAGATATGGAAAAGTTTCACTCATGTGCCTTAGTCTGATGCATTCTAGCAATGGATAGCAACTTTCAAACACATACACAATGAATAGCTAGGGAATGGAAAATGAACTGATGATCATATTTCAGTGTACTCAGGTCAGTTCATCATGTTCCTGGCTCCTTTTTTTGCTTTACTGAGTAGACATGTAGAGTTCAAGTTTATGACAAGTAGCAGTTAATAACTTGCATCTGTCTGCTTTAGCTAATCCTCTAGCAAGTTGTTGTTCTGCTCCAGTTTATTCCCTTGACTAAAGTAACTACAGATGGAGTGTAAAACACAAAACATTTTTAGTGTGCTTTTTATCATGAGAAGAGAAGTGATGCGACATTAAGCAAAGTGCAAAGTATGGTATGTACTTTCAGTTGCTCTCCTCTGTTTCTACTTTCTTGGAACATATGGTACCTGGTAACGTGTGAAAAAATGGGTAGTTAAACTGCAAGACTCATGCTGGAGTCCTGTCCACTTAATTTTCTTGGCTATTAGATGAAACAGGACTAACTGCTTATAAACAGATCTAAACTCATAATCTGAGAAGCATACTGAGCAGAAAGGCACCATTTTGACAGAAAGATTCAGAACCTGAAGAAGTGGATGAACTGAAAGCAACAGCTAACAGTTCAGAGTGAGAGGCCAAGTGATAATAAGACTTTAGTAGCTAGACAAGATACTTGGAGCATACAGTAACCTGCACAAAACAATGTTGATATATAAAGCAGACACAAATGCAATACATGGAGACCTTTATGTGGACTGGGAATAGATGCAACTCATGCATCATGAAGTACTCCATTAACTTGAATGGAGGCACACTAACCAAAACTGCAGTTACATGGTAGTTAATTAAGTTTATCGTTCAGCTTGGGTTAGAAAAATATATTTTACTGACATTAAACTCGGCCCTAATTTTTTGGCCTTGCTGTCTGTTCTGGTGCTCCAAATACAGAAAGAGTCCGATGGAAAACAAAAAAAAAAGGAAGAGAAAATGAAATTTTCAGTATAGTCACATACCGAAATGTGTAGTGGCAACATTCTGAATTATGCTGATTGCATTCTGAACTTTTCATGACTTGTTTATTTTTTTTTCTGCTTGTCTTTCTAAACCAACAGATTGGAAACTGCTGTTGTTTTCATTTTATGCCATCTTGTGTTTTTCACATAAAAAGGAGCAAAACATCATACAATTGAGAAGTGCTGACATGGTAATTGCTCAATAAAGATACTCTTGATGTGCAGGGAATATGTTTTTCAGGCAAGAGGACAAGTACGTGACAAATCTATGTCTTGCACTGCATTGAATATCTACATTGTTCACCTACTAGTGGACGATGCTGACAACATCAAAGCCACTCTGTTCTGATTAAACATAAACTAGATTTCCGAAGGAATAAAAGGAAGTTAATTTTCTAGTTCTCCCAAGAGCATACTAGGTTTGGATATAGGAGGTCAGAAAATTGCCTAAGGAAATAACTTTCTGCAAGTGTCACAGGTCAGATGATGACATGCCAAGCATCTTCAGTAAAATGAGTAAGGCTCTATGAGGGTGTATGAGTCCCTCCATGTGGAGCTCACTGCAGGGTCAGTGCTGAATGATCTAGTCTTTCAGCTGTTTCAAGGCACAGTGCTCACTGGTATAAGTCCAAACAAAGTCAATGGAGTTATTCTTGGTAGTAGGGACCCAACCCACTAGTAGATATTTGTAAGATTGCTCTTCATTTGATGTCTCTAGTGAACCAAAACTCCATTGACTGCAACCTGCACAACAGACACCAAATACCATACTGGGTAACACTAGAATCAACATGTAGAATATAGAAGCAATATCTGGAAAATGCTAATCTATCATACTAATTATCTTCAGAATGCATAGCAATATATTTTGCATACAGTAAGTCAGATAATCAAAAGAGAAAGATGAATTTAGCAATCCAGTTTAACTGACATTTTACAGGTGGTCTCAAGATCTAATCTTTTTAAAGCAAGTTAATTATGTTTGCCTCTTCAGACTTTTTGCCTGCCCCCACCCATCCCCAAATAACTCAACAGACATAAAATGAAGTGAAATTAAAATATAATTTAATCTCTCCAACACAGCAAGAAGCTTAGAGCTGCTGGATACAAAACTAACAACATAAAAAAAATCAAACCATATGGGGAAACTTTCATTTCCTAGTAGTCCCATTGTGTCTTGGAATTTTGGCTATATAGGGTTGAAGACCATAAGGACTTCAGTACTTGATCCTATATTTTTCCTGTTTGTTTAAAATTGAGGCGGCAACCTTTTTTCACCCTAACACTGAGTTCTCTTTAATTATTATTCAGCAAGCCAAACCTATTCACATCAGCACTTAACAATGTGTTTAAGTCATTTGGATTTTTAAAGGGATTAAAGCATGTGCTTAATTTCTTTGCTGCATAGACATGGCCTTCAATTTATATGGTTGATTCAGTTACAAGATTTACTGGATATTTAACTGGGCATTTAAGATGCACATATTAACCCTGCAAAGACTTACCATGTGACTGACTTGATACACCATGACTTTCCATTGCCTTCAAGGGAACTACATAAAGAGTATCGAGTTAATCGTGTGCATAAGTATTTCCATAATAGGGGGTATGCTAATGACCCAGGATGCATGAATAAAATGAAAAAAATAGGTCAAGATTTATCCCAACTTTTCATTCAACAATTGATTTATAAGCAGGGCTAATAGATTTATCTATGATAGGCATATTATCAATTGAAAATGCAGTCCTACCTGGAAAAATCTTCAATTCTCTCATAATTTTAGCAGCTGCCTCTTATTTTGAAAAGAGGAAGGAGAAGGAGTGGTAATTTTTAACTTACTGGGAAACCTTTAGGATTAGTAACTGTTTAACTTGGCCACCTGAATATTCACTTAGGTGCATTCAAGCCATGATCTAAAATACTTGGAGTGGACTGTAAAAATAGGAATAAAAATGAGCGTGGTAGCCTCAGCATCTTGGTGCATGAAATTCCTTTATACAAATTCATTTTGCAGAGCTGGAAATTGTTAGCAACAGCAGCAATGGCAAATCACACGATTCTGCCTAGTATAGAAGCAGATCCCCAGCACTCCTTCCTACCCCAGCACTCTTTCCTGCCTACAGCAGGGGGTCGGGCTCGATGATCTAATAGGTCTAATTCTGACCCTAAAATCTATTAAATCTATTAAATCTATGAATCCATGCTAGTCTCCTGACTATAGAGTTTACCAAATATTACAGGAAGCTCTAATTCTTCATACATAGGACTTCCTTGAAGGCCCAAGCACCTTTCAGTTAAACTTATTTATTATTATGCTAGGGACCCAAAATCATGCTACTGCTGTGTGTTCCTCTCTCATGAAGTTCCAGCTGGCTTTTGGGACTTTTATGAAAATTGTATGATTGAGTGGATGGTGGAGGACAGCCTATGGCATCCCTGAAGGATTAAGAGTTGTGCTGTAGGAAAATTGTAGGTAGGCTGAGGTGTTTGGATGGGCTGGTACCATAACAGAGGGTTCTTATATCCCTTCAGAAAAGAGATATCCCTTCTGTGTCAACTGGTATAGCTATGCCACGTGGGCAAATTGCTCTGATACCAATCCTACCATTCAGAGATAATGAGACAGCATTCCAAGTAAACACAGGCCCTTAAGTGTGGGAGATCAGTGCTTCTGCATAGTTTGACATGGAAGTGGAGCATCTGGTCTCTGTTGCATTTCTCACAATTAAAATGTCTTAACTATATCATAAGAAGATTCAAAACCTAGGGCAGACCAAATCTCATGAGATTCAGTGCTTTATAAAAATCTGGAACGTCTTCTGAGTTCACAAAAATTGTTTTAGCTTGTGAACCCTTTTCCTTTAATTAAAACCCATGTCCCAGCTGGATGATTCAGTTAAAAGTAAATGTTTTTCTAGCTAAAGGGAAGACAGTGCTATGCAGCAGTGTAATTCAAAACACACATAACCTAAGGGAGGGGAAAACCTGGAAAACAAAAATTCCTTCTGACGTTAAGAAGCGAATTAGTTATGAGATTGCAAAACCAAATGACAGTTGAAAAAGAAAGCAATTCTAGGTGGCATGTGCAAAAGCATCGTATCATAGAACAGTTGAAATAATTATTTACCTGAAAGATGGTGTGTTGTCTAAACTAAGGGCCAGGACTGGGTCCCTGGTCCCCGGTTTTATCTTTGCCTTACCAGCTGACTCTATACTAACCTACAGTACCTATAGTGGGAGTCTCTAAGCAAGGTATTACTCAATGTATTTTGCAATGTAGGTGAATAACAGGTACATTTTAGGCCTGTGCGAGTTGGCAGCAATCCGATCCGGCTTTGGA